TGGATCTGTGATTTCAAGTCCAGCCTGGTCTACATAGTGAGTTCCAGGCCAGCTGAGGCTACAGGGAGACCCTGCTTCAAAAAAGACCAATAATAATAATAATAATAATAATAATAATAATAATAATAAGGCTGGAGAGATGGCTCAGCGGTTAAGAGCACTGACTGGTCTCGCAGAGCACCCAGGTTTGATTCGCAGCACCCTCATGGTGGCTACGAACCGTCCTTAAGTCCAGTTCCAGGGGAATCTGAAGCCCTCTTCTGACCTCTGTGGCACTCCACGACACGGGTGCACTCACATACATGCAGGCAATACACTCATACACATAAAATAAAAATAATAAAATATTTTTTAAATATATTAAAAATTAAATACATAAATGAGTCTTTTAAAAAGTACACGTGCATGTCTGGGAGGATGTACAAAATGATGTTAGCTGTAGCTACCTGTTCATTGGGGTAGCTTTGCCTCCTTTAAGATGCATGCAGTTACTTTGAGTAAGAAAATAAAGCAATTAAAGGCCTCTGGTTTGAAAAGAAAGAAGTATAAACCAGGCATGGTGGCACATACTTTAATCCCAGCACTCAGGAGGCAGAGGCAAGGGCATCTCTGTGAGTTCAAGGCCAGCCTGGATTACCTAGTGAGCTCCAAGAGAGCTGGGGCTACAGAGAGACCCTGTCTCAAAAAGACAAAAAAAAAAAAAAGAAAGAAAGAAAGAAAGAAAGAAAGAAAGAAAGAAAGAAAGAGAAAGAAAGAAGGAAGTAAAGCAGATGACAGCATCCTGTATCGAGAACATTCTAACTCAGCAAGCTGAAGAATACTGCATCAATTTACCACACTAGCAAACAGCAATCCAAAAATGAAATTAAGAAAATTCCATTAACAGGGGCTAGAGAGGAGGCTCAATGGCTAAGTGCTTGCTCTAAAGTCCTAAGGACCAGATCCCACGTAACAGGCTAGGCATCTCTGCAAGCACCTACAGCCCCAACTCTGAGGAGGGCAGAGACAGAAAAATCACTGGGGCTTGCTAACTTGCAGTATAGCTGAAGAAATGTAAGCCCCAGGTTCAGAGATATACCTTGCCTCAAAGGAAAAGGCAGAGGCTGATAATGGACAACCAATGACCTCTTCTGTCCTTTGAGCTGTGCACAGAAGTGTGAACCTAAATGTAAACACACACACACACACTTTTAAATAAGATAAAGAAAATTCCATTTATAGCTGAGTATGGTAGATCACATTTGTAATCTTAGCACTTGGGAAGATTGAGGCAGGTGGATTGCCTTAAGTTCAAGGCCAGTCAGGCTACAGAGTGAGGTCCTGTCTCAAAATAAAAATAAAAATAAATTTCATTTACAACAAAAAGAAAAAAGTGCTTTAGTACTCTTAAAATGGGAATCCTTCCCAAATGACTGACAGGCTCAACATGATTCCTACTGAAACTCCAGCTGGCTTCTTGGCAGAAACTGATAAATTGTGTCTAAAGTCCATAAGGCAATGCAAGGGACCTTGAATATCAACAACAAATCTTGAAAAAGAACCATTTCACAATTCACTACAAAGCTATGGTAATCAAGACAGAGTGGGACTGCCATATAGACTGACAGGTATGTCAGTGGAATAAAACTGAAAGTCCTTATTTCTGGACTTAGTGACACACACAACTCATTGTTGACAAGAACGTCAAGATAATTCAATGGGGGCAGAAAATTTTCAACAAATAGTTCTGGAACTAGATAGCTATACATGAAAAGGTGCAGTCAGACCTCTTTCCAGCGTACTTACCTACATACAGGCACTACACGCATACACATAAAATAAAAATAACAAATAAAAATTTTAAAAAACTTCAGTTATTCAAAGAATATTATCAAGAAAGGAAAAAAGACAAATTGCAGAATGGGGGAAAATACTTACTGGAATAGATGAGGAATCCACATAAGTCAACAATTAAGACATATGGATTTTCAAAATGAGTGAAGGATTTTAGTATTTCTCCACCAAAGATATATAAGTGAACAGCAAACACATAAAAAGATATTCAACAGTATTATTCATCATGGAAATACAACTAAGGGCCAGAAAGATGGCTCAGCAGGTAAGGGTGCTTGCCAACAAGCCTGATGACCTAAGTCTGATCCCTGGAACCCATAGAAAGGTTGAAGGAGAGAACTAATCCCTCAGGTTGTCCTCTGACCCACCCCATGTGCACTGTGGCATACATTGTGCACACACAGATAGATAGGCAGATAGATGATATATAGATAAGATAGCTAGATGATGATAGATGATAGATAGATAGATAGATAGATAGATAGATAGATAGATAGATAGATAGATGATGGATAGATGATAGATAGATGATAGATAGATGATGGATAGATGATAGATGATAGATAGATAGATAGATATGATGGATAGATGATAGATAGATGATAGATAGATGATGGATAGATGATAGATGACAGATAGATAGATAGATAGATAGATAGATAGATAGATAGATAGATGATAGATAAAAATAAAAACTGAAATACAAACTAAAACTATACGATATCACTTCACACCTACTAGAATGGTTATAATCTTAAGGTAACAACAAGTGCTGCCCCACATAAAGAGAAGGTGGGACCCTCATGAACTACTGTTCAAAATGTAAAATTAGCCATGCAGGTGGCACACACCTTTAATCCCAGCACTGAGGAGGCAGAGGTAAGAAGATCTCTGTGAGATCAAGGCCAGCTTGGTCTACATAGGAAGGTCCAGGCCAGCTGAGGCTACAGGGAGATCTGTCTCAGACCAATAAACAAACAAACAAACAAACAAGCAAAGTAAAATGAGGCAGCTGGATTTTTTTTTTAAAAAGTCTGGCTGCTACGCAAAAGAAGTTAATATAGGCTTATTATATGACCTAGACTCAGTAATTTCACTCCCAGAGAACTGAAAGCAGGTTCACAAAAACATACCAACTTTAGTTATAATAATCAGAAAATGGTAACAGCACAAAGTTTATCAAGTGATAAATAGGTAAATACAATGTGGTATAGCCATCCAATGGGATATTAATCAACTATCCAAAAGGATGATTACTGATACATGCTACAACATAGATGAAAAGTATATGTGTGTATGGAAAGATACAATGAATCCCATTAATATCTACGCTTATTATGAATTAAATAATTAAAAAATTTAAAAAGGAAACAATCTAGACATAAAAGGTCATAGATTGTATGATTCTAAGTATATGAAATATCTGGAATAAGCAAGTCCAGATATCAGAAAGTAGATGAATTGTTGCCAGAGCTGAAGAAATAACTGGACATGTTATGGAACTGAAGCCAGACCCAGTGGCACAATCCTGGTACTTGGGAGGCTAAGGTAGAGGCCAGTCTGGGCTACATAGACTCCATCTTAAAAAAACAGAAACAGTTTTAGAATTAATAGTGGTGATTGATTGTCACACAACTCTACAACTACACTAAACACCAATGAATTGAATATTTTAACTGAGTTCACTGGATCATATGTGAATTATATCTACCTATCTGTATATGAATAATATAAAGGGTTTTTAATTTTTTAATTTTCTTTTTTATTTTATTTGTTATTTTAATTTTATGTGTATGAGTATATTGTCTGCATGTATGTAAGAGCACCTGTGTCATGTAATGCCTGTGGAGGTCAGAAGAGGGCGTCGGATCTGCTGGAGCTGGAGTTACAAACAATTGGTAGCCACCATGTGGGTGCTAGGAACTGAACCCAGGTCCTCTGCAAGAGCAGCCAGCATTGAGCCATCTCTCCAGCCCCCAACTGTTTTAATTCTACAGACACTTAGAAAAGTCATCCCATCCATCCCCTTGCCAGGGGCCAAGAACACTAAGGTCACTAAAGGCAGAGTCTGGCACAAAGCCTGCTGGAGTTAAGCTCTTTCCAGATGAGTAGGAACTAGCATCTCAAGTCTGGATCCTTCTGGTCAAACCACAAGCTCTCTTTGGCAATATTCAGCGGGACCTCTCCTGTGCCTGCAGGGGGAAAAGTCGGACAAAGAAGGGAAAGTGAACTAAGCTCACCTTAATGATCTCTTCATGCCCGTCGTTGGACTCCACCAGTTCTGAAGCCAGAGAATGACCAGAGGAGCTGTCGGACACCATGTCATAGGTCTTCCTGCCCGCCTGCCAGAGAGACAACAAGTGGCTCAAAAACCACATGGAAGCAAGGACCTCCTGTCCTCATCCCACACAGAAGACTGCATGAGGCATTAGTCCAGTTTTCCCACAAAAGCTCATTCGGATCTCTGACAAGCCACACAGCAGCAAGGACACGAGGTAGGAACGTTAGTAGAAAACTCAGGTTAGTTTTCTTTGGGGGGGGGGTCCTCCCGTTCCCCAAAGCAGCACATAACACTGAGCTGACTGGTGTGTCTGAAAGGAGATGCTCCCAAGCTTGCAGCATCAGAGGTGGCTCTAGGCAACACTGGGGTGAGGGGTCAGCAGCAAGGAAGAACTGGCTGAGAGGAGGCCTCGTCCCACCAGGCACCTCGATACCTTCTGGGCTATGTGTTCAAGTTCATCTCCTGTCAGTTCACTCTGGAGAGTCAGCCTGAGAATGTCCACGCTGCCCTAATAATGATAATGACAGCAACAATGACCCCTTACCTTTACAGCCTACAAAGAACCACAAGCCAAGGCTGCTCTGGTAGGTCTTATCACCAATTCAAAGACAATGAAAACGACTCCCCACAGAGGTGCTGTTAGCTTGCTCAAGATCAGGTGGCTCCTGGGTGTTGGCATAAGGCTGGGACTCTCCTTCCCCCAAAGAGTGTACAAGTTAGCTCTGGACGGTTTATCTTCAAGCTTAAGCAAGAATTATTGTGTTTGTTTATTTTTGTTTGCTTGTTTTTTGAGATTGGGTCTCATTATGTAGCCCTAACTGGCCTGGAACTAGCTATGTAAACTAGACTAGCCTGGAACTCACAGAGATCCCCCTGCTTCTGTCTGCAGGATACTGGGATTAATGGTATGCACCACCAAGCCTGACTGGTTGTCTGTTTTGAGGCAGAGTCTCAAGTTGCTCAGACTAGCCTTGAACTCATGAACTGCTGATCTTCCTGCCTCCACTTCCCAAGTGCTGGGATTACAAGGAACTGCACCTAGATCTTCAAACTAGAAGAAATAAAAGAAAGCACCAAATCCCAAGCTAGGAATGGAGGCATATAACTGCAATTTCAACATTCAACAGGCTGAGGCAGGAAAACTGTCAGTTGCAGGCCAACCTGGTAACACAATAAGACCCTGTCCAAGAAACAAAACAAATAAGCAAGTTTGCAAACAAAAATCCTGAATCTAAACTGAATTTCTATCAGTCATGTAGAAATTACCCAAATTAAAGAGGGCAAGATAATAGGTATGTATTTTTTGTTGTTCCTTTTGAGACAGGGTCTCCCTGTAGCCCAGCTGGCCTAGAACTTGTTATGTAGACCAGGCTGGCCTTGAACTCACAGAGATCTGCCTGCCTCTGCCTTCCAAGTGCTGGGATTAAAGGTATGCGCCACCACACCCAGCAATAAGTATGTATTTTGAGATCAGCCTAGTTTCAAAAGATGAAGCAGATTTCTTTCTTAAGAGTAAATAAAACACTTTGTAGGAATAACTGAAAACCTCAGAGGGGAAAAGGAATGAGAGAAAAATAGGAAATCTGGAGTCAACAAGGGACCTAGCCACACTGGACCTCTGGTTCCCATGAGGAAAATTAAGGGTTTGGACTGAGTATTTCTTAGGCTCCCTTCAACTTCCATGCTGTGATGGCATCAGGATGGAGAACATACCTCTCCCAGGCAATGGAGGGAGGGTAGAAAGTCCTTTTTCCCTTTTTCTCTTACAATGCTAGAAACTGAACCCAGACTACTTGTCCATGTTAGGCAAGCACTCTATCACTGAACTACACCCCCAGTCTCAAGAGAAGATGAGTGCCCTGGGGACAAAAGTGAACTTGAAGCTAGGCTAGAACCTGTAATTCCAGCACTCTGGAGGTTGAAGTAGAAGTATTACTGTGAGTTTGATGTCAGCCTGTGCTACAGAGTACCAGTTACCAAGGCAGCCAGAACTACACAGTAAAACTCTCAGCAAAACAAAACAAAGGGCACATGCCTGTAATTTCATCTGGCAGCTAGAACAGTAGTATTCCTAACTCGTAGTCCAGCCATTCTAGCTGAACTGGTAAGCTCCAGGTTCAATGAGAGACTTTCTCAAAAAACAAGGTGAAAAGCAACTGAGGAAGACATTTGATGTCAACCTCCACATGTATATGCATACACATGCATATGCATCTGCACACACACTTACATGCATACACGTGACAACAACAAAAGCTGAGATGTGGCTCAGTGATAAGAGTGCTTACTTAACACGCACAAGGCCGTGGGTTTGATCCCCAGCACCACCACCAACAAAAACCTGTTGTGGATAGGGATGTAGCTCAGCTGGCAGAGTGCTTACCCAGCATGCATGAGAACCTGGATTTATGTCTTAGCACACACCTGTAATCCCAGCACTCAGGACGTAGAGGCAAGGAAGATCAGAAGTTCAAGATCACCCTTGAGTTCAAGTTTGAGGCCAGCTTGGGTGGGCCACATCAGATCATCCTCAAAAGTATTGGGGGGTGGGGGAGACACCAACCTTGAGGTCATCTTGTCATCTCTTACCTCAATGCCCAGCAACATGTCATCTTAACCCTAACAAACTTAAAGGAATCCTGCTAACTTCTCAAATGTCTAGAGAAAACAACCTTGCAACTTGGTGGGAGCACAAATCAATCTGGTCAGATACTTAATTTTCAGTGTCATCAGATGCTTAACTCTTAGTGTTCCTATCTGTGGATTCTAAATACTACCTACTCTATAAATGAAGGGTTTTAAAAAGTTACTGAAAATGTATGGAGGTTGTCACTCAAAACATTAGCCTCTGCTGGGCATTGTGGCCACACCTTTAATCCTAGAACTTGGGAGGCAGAGGCAGGCGGATCTCTATGAGATTGCGTCCAGTCTGGACTACGAAAGTGAGTTCCAGGCCAGCTGTGGCTACAGCTTGACCTGTCTCAAAAAGACAAAAAAATAAAAACAAAAAACACAACAACAACAACAAAACATTAACCTCTTCCCACTTTTTAGAGTGAATCAAAACTTCCCCAACCCTGGCAAAGTAGATTTACTTCTTTTTTGAGACAGTGCCTTGCTATGTAGCCCAGGCTGGCGTTGGAATCATGACCCTTTTATTTATGACCTTAAACTTCTGATCTTCCTGCCTCTACCTTTTATTTTATTATTTTTATTGTAATAATATGCCATTTGGGTGCTTAGCCTCCTGAGAGAGCCAGATACCAGGCCAAAATGAAAGGACTTTTCTTGGGGGGCATTGCTGGGAACTGAGTCCAGAGCCTTCCACATGCTAAGTGTATATTTGTCCACTAGCTCCTGTACCCCTCTAGTTTGACAAAGACACTTAATTCCTACGAAGCAGATTCATTAAGGCTCTCCATAGCCTGGGCCTACTCACCTCACTACTTCCTGTCCCTCATGGTTCTCCCTATCCAATGTGTCCCAGGCTTTCCAACTTCGTGTCTTTGTTCCTATTGTCTTCTCCGTTGTAAGTAAACTTCCTTACCATATTCTCCTGAGCCATCTCAAGTCTCACTGAGGTTCCCATCCAAAGGCCCCATCTTCCATGGCACCACCCTACCTACTGTGGGAAGCACATCCTCCCGTCTCTGACATCCTATGACGTCTGCGTCTCAGCACAGTTGAGTATGTTGCAAATGCACAGAGAATGCACCAAGAGAACATTACAAAACAACAACACCCAGAGGAAATTACTTCAAAACAGCGGGAGTTGGGCTAGGTGTGGTGGCATATGCCTATAATCTCATCACTCAGGAGACAGAGGTAAGGTTTGCCTCAAGTTCAAGGCCAGCCTGGTCTACAAAGTGAGTTTCAAATCAATCAAGGCTACATAGTAAGGGGGCTGGAAAACTGGCTCAATGATTAATCACACTGGCTGCTCTTGTAGAGAACTCAAGTTTGGTTCCTGGTACCTACAAGGTGGCTAACATACATCCATATCCAGTTCCAAGGGATCTAATGCCCTATACGGATCTGAGGACATTGCACACACCAGTATACTTATGTATATATGGGTAAAATACATACACATAAAGTAAAAATCAATCAATTTTTAAAAACATTTTATTTATTATTATTTCATTTTTTAAATTATTTTATTATTTTTATTATTTATTATTATTATTATGCCATGTGAGTGCTGGGAATCGAACCTGGGTCCTCTAGAATAATAGCAAGTGTTATTAACTACTCAGGCATCTCTCCAGTCCCAAACTTGTTTGTTTGTTTGGTCTTTTTGAGACAAGGTCTCCCTGTAGCCCCAGCTGTCCTGGGACTCACTATGTAGACCAGGCTGGACCTTGAATTTACAGAGATCCGCCAGCCTCTGCCTCCCGAGTGTTGGGAGGCTACATAGTGAGACTCTGTCTCAAAAAAACAACCCACAAAATAGTCAGGTGGTTGCCAATTTGCTTTCCCTGGGACAGAGGCATACACTTTTGATTAAAACACCATCTCTCTGGGACTGGAGAGATGGCTCAGTGGTTACGAGCACCGACTTTTCTTGCAGAGGACCTGGGTTCAATTCCCAGCTCCCACATGGCAGCTATGAACCGTTCTTAACTCCAGTTCCGGGGGAATCTGAAGCCCTCTTCTGACCTCCACAACATTGCACAACACAGGTGCACTCACATACATGCAGGCAATATACTCATACACAAAATAAAAATAATAAAATATTGAAAAAAAAGAAAAAACACCATCTCCCATACCTGGAAGCAGCTAGGGCCTGGCTCCAGGTGTTAGTTGTCCATGAAAATCATCAAGTCTTGTTTGTTTAATGAAACCGAGCATTCCCAAGAGAAAAAGCAAAGAAAACTAATCTTGGTGGGGACCCTGAGTGATCAATCCATCCATTAATGTTATCAGAATCCAGCAGGAGCAGAGAAAGGGGTGAAGTGAAACAGGATTTTAAAAAAACACAATGGCTGAAAATCTCTTCCTAAACTTGGCCAAAGAGGTTAACCTACAGATCCAAGAAGCCATGCAGACCCCAAACAAAAATCTGAAATCTGTATCATGAGCATCACAATTAACCTGATAACTAAAGACAGATTTTAAAAATCTTCAATGGAGCCAGAGAAGAATGACACTTTACCTATAGGGGCAAACAGTATGAATAGCAGCAGACATTCACAGAGATGTTTTCCAAGGGTTGAAAGAAGGAACTGTCAATTCAGGATCCCAAACCCAGGAAAACTATCCCTCAGTAATGAGAGATTCATAAAGACAACCTCAGACAAGCTGGGCTTGGTGGCTCCCGTCTTTAATCAGGAGGTAGAAGCAGATGGATCTCTCAAAGTTCAAGGGTTACACAGTAAAATCCTGCCTGAAAAAAAAAAAAAAAGGAAATCTCCAGTACTCCAGGAGGAAAGGGTTAGAAGAAAGAAGTTATCTAAGCAGACAGGAAATAATAAAAAAAGAAATCTAGGTGTGGTAGTACTGCCT